CGTGCTGGTCATAGAAGAACCCGAAATACCGTCGCTTTGAGCGCCGCGCTCGCGTTTAGAACGCAAGGAGTCCCCTTTGCGAGGGAGAAAGTCAACGGTTACAAATCATCTATGCCTCGCAACAACGATTTATAGCTCTGGTGAGACGTGCATAAAAGTTAATTAAATCAATGCGAATCGATAACGGTAGATAACGTGTCGGTGATCAATACGTGTACGGTCGAGTGCAACGTAGGCTTCCTTTGGCTAAGGATGAGTGCAGGGGGTGGAGTCTCTCGCTACTCGCTTTCGATTTCGGCCACTCGAATATTTCGCCAAATTCTTCTATGTCAAAATATCCAAATTCCTTAATTTTGTGTGAACTAAAAATTAGCAACTGGTAGGGTCATCGTCGCCATTTTCTTTATAAAATCTCGCCGTCCAGAGAACACGCGTGTTACACGAATTTCGTGGCGAGTGTCATCTAGGTCAGCACGCAAGGTTGAAAGGGCTAATAACCCAAAGATGATCCGATGCGTGAAACGCGATATAAATAGAGCTGTCGCTCGCTTGTCCCTCGTGGCTTTGTCTAGCGAGCTTAAACAATGGAGAAACAATTTGAATTAAGAGAGCGTGTACGGGAGCTCGACGTATTCGTCGACCGTGAACGTGAAAGTAATCTCGCGATAATCGGTTCGAACACGCGCAATTAAGAAAATTTCTCGCAACGTCGAATGAAAAGTGGAGCAAAGGGAGAAGCATCCGAAGAAAGGGAGAAACATCGCGGAAGCAGGAAACGACCGTAAGCATAAAAGGTTTGTGGAATAAAAGAGCATGGCGAGGGACGGTGAAAGGGGAGAAAATGAAAACAAAACGGCAAGGGGAAAACTACAAGGTGGTTGGAAAGAAAGAGAAAGAGGGTTCGGCCTCGTAGATTTCGCGGCGCGAACGGGGCAGGCGCGAGACGATCAATTACGTAACTCGATAAAAGTAGGTCACGTGTCAAAGTGCGGAGCCATCCCCAAGGTGTCCAACTTTTTGGTATAAGCTCGTAAATTACCAGTCAGCTAGCTGCTGCTACCCCCTCAGCTTTAAATAGAACGTTGGCAGAGGCTCCTGTCCAACTATCCTCTCCCTTTTCCCCCTCTTTCTCTTTTCTTTGTCCCTCGTCCGTCAGTCCCTTTCTTTCTCCTTCTCTTCCCGTCAGAACTTTCCTCTTCATCCCTCATCCGCGCCCTCTCTCGTGTTCCTTTATCACGTAGATCGCTCGTCGTTTCGTCGAACACGAGGCAAAGTTAGCCGGACACGTAAGTCGCCGGTCGTTAGTCGTCGACGACGATAGCTCGTCGAGCTACCAGAAGAAGAAAACAAGAGAAACGAGAAGACTGAGAATGAGAGTCTTTGAGAAACAGCGAGAGCAACGGAGACGACAGGAAGCAAGAGAGAAAGAGAGCGAGAGAGAGAAAGAGAATTCCTATGCACTTCTTCCAGCGTTGTCCAAACAGAGACAGAGCTAACGGAGCAACTCCGTGTGGAAATGTTCCCGTGCGAGTCGGACGAAGAGAAAGAAAGAGAGAGAGCGTGACGGCAGGAAAGCTAAGACAATCAATAAGATCGCCGGGTCCGAAGGAGCTCGTGCTCGGATTCGTCGAGTTGCTTCGCCACTTTTCTTTGCCAGGGACCAAGAGATCCGTGTTTAACAGCTAACTCGTAGTCTATCGTCGTTAAACGCAACGTCCCGAATTAGGATCCCCTCGAGACCGCGAACGGGAAGAGAATGAAGACGAACGTATCTTCGGATGGACACGAAAAAAGGATAACACGCGAGAGAAAACTACGAGGGTACCGAACGCTGGGAAATTAGAAAGAATACCGACGGGATTTAGCGGAAGAAAGGATTAACGAAGAAAAGGGTGGACGGAACGGGGTCGAAGAAGAGGAGCCGGTACCTACGAAGGGTCGATACCGACTCTAGTCAGCGGCAATCGGATAGGTCAGGATAGACAGGGATAGGCTAGGATAGTCGTAGATATAAGGCGCACACGTATACAGAACAGCCAACCAGCGACGCCCCGAGTTTCGGGGGATGCATTCCGACGCTTGAACCGAGGATAGTAATTTCTGGATACCAACCACTAAATTCCGACGATCAGTCGTCTAGCAGCCGTACAAATTACGGTCTAAGATCCACGACGATTGTCTGGCTGGTGCGTCCTTCGAGCAGCATCGAAATCCCGGGGAAATCAATAAAGGGGAAGAAACGGTTCAAAGACTATTTGCTGGAGCGGACAAAAATCATATAAGTTTGCCCTACTACCCCCTGTGTACGAACCAAAAGTATGGAAAGGTGACAGACTCGCCGCTCTGGCGGATGTTACCGGAACTACGAATTATCCCTATCGGAGCTTACCCGCCAGGGTGCACTTCTTTCGGAGGTGCCTCGATAGAGGGTTGCAAGATCCTGGAACATTCAAACTGGGCCGTGCTACCAGTCGATAAGGAAGATGACTTCGTTAACGATCCGTCCTTTACGGTTATATCCTTATTCCAGGATGAAATCCCCAAATTGAAGGGTGCGAGGATCATTCTTACACCGGATGAGTCGCCTAACAGGACCGCCTTCGAGCGTTTGCGAACCGTTCGCTGCGAGAGAAAAGTCGTACAGGATATCAAGACATTGCACACATTGACAGAAATGATTTTTGTCCGGGATGGACCAGATTGTTCGGAATGACCGAGCGACTTTTGGAAATTTGAAAATTTCAACTCGATCTGCCCGTAATCCCTGACGGGATTTGCTGACATTGCAATTCAGATAAAGCAATAGAGCAACGCGCATCGTGCTTGTTGCGCTTTTGATTCGATGTTTTATTTATACGGCAACGAGCATGCACGAAACGATTCGCGAGAGCGTTTGAAAACCTGATTTCACTTTACAACGAGATTGATCGATATCAATCAGTCGTATGCGATAGCAATCTTCGAGGAAATTGACATTCATTCTGAGAGAGCTACATCGAGTCTCTATCTCCCGGTTTCAAGGACGGGAGAACTATTCCTTTATAGTAGATATTTTTCAAGAAGAAAAAATAAGAGAACGATATACACGCGACGTTGAAACGTTTCAAAAACGCATCGAATCGTGAAATTCCAGCGAGTCGAGAAGAGGGTGGTTTCAAGATCGAAACGGCTGTCCTAGTTTCAGTAAAAGCATTATACGGACCTGCATGCGTGAATTCGAAGCAAAACATTTTTTTCCCTTCTCCAGCCTCTCTTTGCTATGCGAACGTAACTAGAAAATGAAAATAGCTTGTACCGTTTTCGCGAGGCCGTACAGTTTGTCTAAGCTTTCGAATCTTTTGACCCAGGAGACATGACGAGACGTCTTGACAACACCTGTTATCGATTAATTTTAAGGATCCACAACTAAATGCACATTACAATAAACGTTTCGAGAAAAGAACCATTTATTTCCGTCCCACCGTGTACACGCTGAGGACCGTGCATATATTCAATTCTGAAAACGGAGAAGCAAGTCACTTCAGAGAGCGATAAAGAGGCCGGCCTTTTGACGACGAAAGAATGGAACACGTGACGTTGAAGTTTAGGATTAAAAAAAAAGAGAGAGGGACGAAGAAAAATTATACGACCGTGATAGCGTGCCTCTTGTACCAGGGATAAAAAAAGAAGTTTCAAGGAGGACTTGGAAATGGATCTCCCTTTCTCAAAAGTTTAAACGAATTTCCGTTTTAATAAGAAGATAAGTTCGGCGCAATTAACCTTAAACGGTATTCTTACATATTTCCTCGGACGAGTCGATCAATCTGCATATCATTCGTCGTGGACAGTATACGAAACACAGGGCACCCCCTCTGTAGCGATGTTAAAAATTCATTAATACGAAGCTCGTGTAATTGTTTCCCCTCCTGTAGAAGTTAATATAAACTATGTATAATTCATGCGGGCTTAAATAGTTTTGATTCCGTACGAAATTCGATCGATGAGGCTCATTTAAAATTCAAATGTTGGACTTAAAGGGGAAGAATTAAAGAACGGGGATACTCGTGAACGGAGAACCGAGTTTTATGCACGGAATTCGGGATTTTCCGCCCGACATATATCCACGAATCGGAAGGAGGTGAAATCTGGAGTATCAGTTGAAATAATTCGCTGGAAAAATACGGATATCGATAATACCGATTCTCGTTATACAGCTATCTAGATGGATTTTCACGCACTTGTACCACCTTTTATGCTTTCCAAATTTTTATACAGCCTTAATGTTGATGTAACGAAGGTCTTGTCGATAAAATAAAAATTTGAATATTAACCATTGGTACCTCTGAAATTTCTACAATGTTAACATTGCACAGGGTATTTCGTGTTTGGAGCAAGATGAAACTTTCGTCGTGCCTTATCGTATTAATTAATCTTTCTAATACATAGACCAGGGTACACCGTCGTCACGAGATCCTGAATTGTTTAGAAAGTTTTATTAGAGTGTTTCATCGTTAATAGCCTTCGGATTGTAACTCCTCGGCATCGGGAAAGAAGAAGAAAACGGGTCACTAAACACGCGTTGTAAGGATAATAAAGTAAAAAGTATTATCGTTTCGTGTGTATATACGTGTTTCCGTTTGTCGTGCTTGTTTTCTCGCTCGCGGAATACGAACATTTGTGTCGTTCCTTCGCAAATCAACGCGTTTCCGGCGACTGTGTAGGTCGATCGGCAATAACCAAAATCGCATTGGACGTTTCCTTGTTCCCTCGACGGACGAATAAAACGATTCCAATCTCGGGAACAAAAACATAAAGTCGATAACTCCGTGAACGTTTGCGTCGAGTGAAAAATTTACGATCGCCAGGGTGTTACGCGCATACAAACAGCATAATGTAAACAGCGAGGTAAATTATTAGCCTCTCCGTAGCCTGAAGAAGTGGCTCGATAGGGGGATAAATAATTCACGACAAGATCGGATCGTCTGTCAAAGGTAAAAGCAAGTAATGGCGGAAATACTTACCGGAGATGGGATCCGCGCCATCGAGCTTCCTGTCTAAGGAGACGTTCTCGTGAACGGCTTCCTTGCTCGTCCTTGGACGACATCCAGAGTTCGAGTCACCAGCACCGATCCCATCTTGGCTCTTGTGATCGTTCCTAAGGTGATCGTTTCTTTCGTTCGACTTGGAGCCTCCGCCACCTACACCGACCTTCGTCGACGTCTTGCTGTTACCGAGAGTCCCGGAGTTACCGTTCAGGTTGGCGTTAACGTTGATGTTGTTGCCATTCGTGGACGAATGATGGTTGTCAGCCTGCTGAGAGAAAGGTTTATCGCATGTGGAACCTTACTGTTACTGACTGCATATTCGTTTACTAAAACAGATTGTGCTTATTTAAAGTTAGGATTGATTATAACATTCAAGCTAATATGATCGAATATGGAATTTTAACAGGAAGGAACTCTGAAGGAATATCGAGCTACGAATTAATGTACAGTCTTTTAGTTGTAACATTTTCATAAATGGCAAATTGTCTCGGACTAAATTAGTAATAAACGAATAGATGACCATGTTTGCATGCGGTACCGAGTGATTTATTATTACGATACGATATCTTATTATTTATTGCCATTGATTTATTACTACGAGAGCGATAGTCTCGTGGCGAGGCAATATGCCCCGACTAGAATATCCCGAGTCTACTACATCACTTGTCAGAAACAAAAATTGTAGATTTCGGAAATAATGAAAAGGAACGTGAGAAAAAATATGAGAGCGAATGAAAGGATGTAATAACGTTGTTATCGTAGTTTAGGTGCTTCTGATTTGACTAAAAGCATGAAAAATTAATCGATTGAACGTGCAGAGGTAGCGAAGAAGTGTGTGGAATTGAATGGATTTGAATGGAAATACGAGTTGTATCGTAGGAAAAGGGAAACCGAGTAAGGATAAATCTGTACGTAGCACGAAGAAAGATTATCCAATAGGAAAATCCAATTTGATCCGGGTCGAACCGCAGGATGAATTAATTGACTCACCGTGGTGGTCATGCAGGTCGAGGAGGATGAGCGCACGACGACGATACGATTCTGATTGTGATCATTGGAGGCAATCGTTGACACGGCAGCGTGATTGGCGAGCCCATGGGTCTCGTGAGCGTTATTGGATCCAGCATTGGTACTGGTGTTGGTGGTAGTGACGTTACCGGCAAGGGAAGTCTGCCTGATCACCAAAACGCTGCCAGCCGGCTCCAGCACGACCACTTGCCTCATCCTCACCGTGTCCCCTCTTAGCTTCTCTCGGTGTTGCTGACGAAGAAGGAGAACGTGCACAGGTTGCACGAAAGCTCCCTTGAAAACGATCCTCCTTCTTCGGCTGATCCAAGTATCCGACGGGAAATGCGTTCTCCAGCCTCCACCCCTTGGTTCTTAAAGCTCCAGCGCGATTGCTACCACCTGCTCCTCCTGTACACACGTACACCGAGATACCTCGATATTAAAACTGTCGTCTTAAAGGATGATCCTACTTCCATCCTATTTCGTGTCAGGGCCTTCTCTCTTTCTTATGAACGTGTCATCCGAGCGTGTACCAGCGTGGCTTCCTTCGAAAGGCAAATCGATGAGATTATTTTGCCGGCCGTCTAACGCGACTGCTCTTCGACGATCGGTTTTTACACGACGTTTTATCGTCAGATAGCCGGAGCGAGTAAACACCTTGGCGCGTGAACGTTGCCGCTCTGGATTTGAAATCCCTTCTTGGTTGTAAACATTCGACGCAACCACTTGGAGCCATCGAATCGACTGCTTTAGTCCGGCACGAGAAACACGAAACGGAACAAACACGGCCGCCTGCATCGTCTCTCTGGTCCTTGGATCCGATTGCGACACAATTAAAGGTGTACCGAGGAAAAAGCGTAAATGAAAAAGCTACGAACATGAAATACATTAATGGCCGGTTGTCACAGGGGATTTCGTGGAGTCATGATGGATCGCCAACAGAAATAAGAAATGCACGCGCGGGAGCTCGGAACACTTGAAACCGCTCCAAATAACGTCGCGATATTAAGCTTTTTGGATCGAAAGCGCGGAACCGAGGGTGTTTCGAGTATCCAAAATCACGTCTGGAGAACGTGTATCATTCGAAATTAATCTTTCGCATGCGCGCGCTTTAATATCTCGTTTCGTACGTAAGCAATCGAAAGAGAACCCGTTCTGTCCCAAATTCGCCGACAGAAACGTACGCGAACGGTTATAAAAATCTACCTAAGTACCCAGAGGATATTCTATTTCTCATGACTCCGTGACTGCTTGGCTTTTCGAAGCTGACTCTAGTTGGCAGCCATTATCATACAGCCGATTCTTGGCAGCCATTATCATAGATTTAGCCAGTAAAACTGAGTCAAAGCCTTCCGAGATGCGTCTCTATCATAGACGAGCGACAGATATCAAATTATTCGTGTAACAATAGAGAAACAAACGTTGCCAGTTTTTTGATGAAATCGGAAACACGACGAACGTATCCGATTCCCCACGGACTCTCTCTTTTACGCGAGATTAAAAAGTAATCGACGTTTTCATTCAACGACTCGATAATCGCCCGGGTGCAAATTCGCGAATCGAAGACAACTTTTTGTCCCGTTCTCTACGGCATTGTAGCTGGAAATGCATCGAAAGCAATTAAATCGAATCAATTCGATAACGCGTTCACCGATCAAACGCAGTGCACCGTGTTCGAAAATCGTGGTTGCGTCGATTGATATTTTCTAACCCAATAACAACGGGAACCGCGGATGAATTTGAATCAATTAAAGTACACAATTTCCTCTGTTTAGCAACACACGGCTCCCCCCGATTGCAACAACGTGTTTGATTGTCCTACATTTGTAAATTCACCGATCGATAGTCAGGTTTCGGCGTGTTTCGTATTCTAAGACAAACATCCCCTAACGATATCGATTAGCTCGAACACACTTTCGATTGTTCCAGCGACGAATCGCTAACAACTTTCTCGTCGAAATCGCTCTTCTGTTCGTGGAACGTCGTTCCCTCTTCGAGAGAAAACCGATAATTCACAAAGGAGCACTATCTACTACGAGTTTCGTCATCCCCCACGCCCTTTCGATTCCTGCGTCCTCGAACCCCTCTGCGCTCGGCTACAATTCCAAACTTACGAATTCCCAAATTCCCCGACTGCTTTATCATCAAATTTTCAAATCTCCAATTCTCCAAATTCTCAATTTCCGTACTCCAAAATTTCCACATTGTCAGATTTCTAAAATTCATAAACGCGTTATGCACAAATCAGCCAGATTGATCACTTACATCGGAATCCCCTTTCCACTACACGGCCATTTTCCCCAAGGAATCGTGTCATGCTCGCCAATGTACGCTCTGACTTTACATCTCGCCCCGGAGATCGTTCCTTTGGGAAAAACAAGTTTACATTCGGAAAAATCGATCCTCTGGTCAGTTTTCAATCGAGGGCCCTCGAAATCCGGAATTCGGTGGTCCGGAATTTACGAGATTAAAATGTCGCGAGTCGGATCACTTTTCTCGAGGATTAAAGTATGAATGAAACAATGCGAGGTTTGATCTTGCGAAATTTCCCTTCTCGCCTGGAAAGTCCGTAACGACTAAGTACTCGACGGAGAAGAGACTTGTCTACTTGGAATTTCGTCATTCTCCACGCCCTTCCGGCCTCTTATTCTCTCTCTCTCCGTTTCTCGCGTTTCCTCTCTGTCTTGACTACACTTCAAAGTTTGGGATTCACATTGAAGACAGTTACCCTCTTGCCCTCCACTTTCAGAGGACGGACCTACATAATTCTCGTACGCGCTTCAACCCCTCATGAAATATAAACCGTGCACTCTTGATTCAAGACCGTGTACGTACGCTGCCTTACAGGAATCGTGTATTTATTTTCACGAGCGAAAGAGTTCAACGAAAACGTGCGCAATTAAGAAACTATCGAGCAACATCAGAGTACGTTTCTGATTGTAAATATACCACACGAATTTCTATCCACGAGGCTATTACGATCATGAAAATATTACGAGCACGTTAAATTTGCCGTGCTCGAAAAATAAACGACGTTCTACATTTCAAAGTTATCAATGCGGTTGCCGACAGCTCGTTCATTTTAACATTCCAACAAGACCTTTAAAAAGCGCCCTTATTCAACTCGGCTCTTTGAAAATCTATTCACCAAAACTGTGATCCACTTGCACGTTTTTGTACACTCGCTAACAGTTATAATACTCAATTTGATATGTTTTATAGTTCGGTATCAAACTATCTTACATAATTGAAGTTAAGGAACACTATATCAGCGGTCGATCATTAAGCACTTATAAAATGAGATAAAGAAACGAAGACTCGACGATCACAAACAAGTACTCTTATCATCCTCTTTGTCTAATCGCGAATTAATCATCCGGTTCGTCGAGGAAAGACGTTGCAACGGCGAACGACAGGCACATAGCCCACAAAAGAGCCCAATCTACGTGGAATTCCGTCATGGTTCCTCGATCGTTCAACCAGCTTCTATGCCCCTCTGTCCCGTTACATCCGCCCCATCCCTGAACCCTTTACCCTCTTAAACATCTCTCTCGCTCGCTTTAACTTTGCGATTCACCTTGGAGCCAACCGCCCTCCCTTTGAGATGCGCTGACCCAGTTTCCTCCTCCCCATGAATCGGGAAATTCAAGACATGAATTTTAGAAAAAAGCCTCCTACGATGCCTTGTAACCCGTTTACGACCGCTTCTCCACGACGTACAACCTTCGAAACGAAACTTCTTGCAATATACACTAGACAACGATAGATTGCCCAATATTGTTCGCGTCGTGAATAACTGTGCGGCAGCAGTGTCCAGTCCTTTGTGAATCGCAGAATTCCCTAGGGAAAATGGCTACGTTGCTTTTACGAAGCTTTCGACTTTGGAACTTTGGTAATTTGGGGATGTAAGTATTTGAGGAATTTAGAGCATATTGAGATTTGGGAGGCTTTGAGAATTTGGATATTCGAGAATTTAAATAGTGAAAATACTCAAGATGCTAATTTGAAAGTTTACGTATCTGATCCTAATGACGAAGGGAACAATTATCCAAAGATAGCCTAGAATGCAGTGGAGTGTACGTGTCATAAATGGACACGGTTTTGATGCAGCCATCCGGAAGCTCTAATTAAACAGGTTGCATAACAGTGTTCACGATTCCACTAAACAAGATATACTTTCGCACGCAAATGCCGCGTTACAAATACCTTGGAACGGTTTTGTAGCGCGCGTGGAATGCCGATCAATTCCACGTGTCGCGTGTCGGTTAAACATAACAGTTGACGAGTTTGCCCGTGGATGGCTCGAGAGCACGTCCAGCAAGCTGAATGGAATAATTTTCATGGAAATTTCGAGCACACGTTGGAAACGCGACGTCGTTTTACAGGTGGTGGTTTCCACAACGAAGAGGAGACACCGCTGAGGCACGATAGGAGATAGGAAGCTTACAGGCAACGATCGGGCAGAGACTTCCGGCCGAGTTTCGCGCATAGAAATCAGGAGAAAGCTTATTTTTCTATATAGAGAAACAGAAGGTACTCCCACGCGTACACCAAATTGCCAGCAAAGCGAGTTTCTTTTCTCCCCTCGGTCGGAATGCAACGTTCGATTTTATATTCCTTCCATTATTTGTTTATTCCACCTTCGAGAGATGCCGACCCAGTTTCCGTCTACGCGAATACAGAACCGAATGGTGGAGCTGAATTTTGAAAAAGGACCTCATCGCGCATATACTGGTAAAGGGAACTTTATTCTCCTGCCCGTTGAATATGTATGTATTTTTCGACGTATCCGAGCGTGGACAAAGTTGCAGATCGTCTATACACATCGACGTTGTCTGAGAATACTTTGAATTTGTATTAACACGTAGATACACGGTAACATGAATTATTAAAAATTAATCCTTTGATACGATGCTGGGTTACACGTTCGAATAAGCTTGGATTAAAAGAGGAATGCAAATTCATCGTGAACAACGAACAGAAGCGTGATTCGTGAAATGAACGTTGTACAGCTTGATTCGGTTGTCGAGATGCGCCATAATTTAGGTATATTAGTTCGGTACAAACACGCGGATAAGAGGAACGTTGCTTTGGCAAAAACTCCCCCGTTTTTGCGGTGTTTTCCTAAACAAGCAACATCTCCGGACAAAGTTCACGCGAAAGAGTGAAGCATTTTAACCGCTGCAAACTTGTTTGCCTTCAGTTTGCCACGATGCTCGTGCTAGCCACACACATTTCAGTTTGCCCAACGTTAATATCCTGCAGAAATGCACACAGCATCGCGACTATCTCTGACGCTTTCCACGGTCCGAAAGACTGTTACCGGAAAAGGTAACAGCTTCCCGAGTTTATTACTGCATAGTTGCAGTCTGATTTCCTGAACAACCACTTTGCCCGACTGAATTTTC